TGTGTTACTGCGTGTTTGAATAATTTGTCCTCCACTTCTTCAGTAGTTACAGACACATATTATATTGTCATTTTAAACAATAATTCAGCTGTTAAAGGAGTTTTATATTTATCACATGGAATATACTATGAAAATCTGTGCTGTAATGATAAAAAAGAAAGTCATTACACCAGTCAGTCATTTCATGGTAACCCGTCCAGTAGGTTTTTCACAATCAAACCAACAAAGAAATTGACAGAGGGGGACAACAACCTCCTTGTCAGAGGTAATAAAAAAATAATTATTACAACTAATGTGTAATTTATCTTCCTCTGTTTCCTCCCTGACGTTTCACCAGACATAAATGAGTGTCAGAAGCCTGGCATCTGTCCTAACGGCCGCTGTGAGAACCTCCCTGGTACTTACCGGTGCCTGTGCAACGAGGGCTTCCTTCCATTAGCAGACAGCAAAGGGTGCAGTGGTGAGAAGTTCTTGTCTAACCCTTACACCCCAGTACATAGATTAAGCTGCTTATAATGCACTCAAGTGATCTGATGGCTGTTTGGTGCCGAATATGAATCCTACATTTTTTTCTTTCTCTCAATCAGACATTGACGAGTGTGAGGACGTGCGGCTGTGTGCTTACGGCCACTGCATCAACACTGAGGGCTCCTTCCAGTGCCAATGTTACCCGGGATACCAGCGCACACAGGAAGGAAGCCACTGTGAAGGCAGGAATTACTCCACAAACCAATATGCAATTATTAAGCACCCTAAAGTAATACGTTTTTCATTCTCAATTGATGAGTAATAAACATAAAGAGTGACTAACAGGTTAAAGAAAAGATCTAAAACTGCTCAACACATGCTTCACATGCTGACACAGTTGTTTTTATTTCCTTCCCATCCCAGATATCGATGAGTGTGAGAGACCTTCAAACTGTCAGCAGGGTCACTGTATCAACAGCATGGGCTCATATCACTGTGAGTGCCAGAAAGGCTACGCACTGGTCGGAGGCAGGAGATGCCAAGGTCAGTCTTTTACATTCTTTAAGGTCATGACCTTTACCAGAAAACAATGTGCTTTATGTCGTTCTGCTTATAGTAACTAACTCATATGCAGGAGTTGATAGGTTGGGTTTTTTTTGCAGTTTCTTTATTTGTATCCTTATATCTAATTTCCACAACTATCATTCAACTCTTTTAGGAGCTGATTTTACTGTTAAAGACACATTTGTCTTCTTTACAAAGTTCTGTAATAAATGTGATAAAATCAGGGCTGCCATTAAAGTTACTTTCATTTTCTGCATGATAAACAAAATATTGATTAATCAATTGTAATCTAGACATCTCTATTGTAGATTTTAACTAATAAATAGTGTACTATGTTTTTTTTCCTATCTTTATTAAGTACTTTGGTCTTTGAGATTGAGAGCAGGACTCATTGATTTCACTGTTTGTTTTATAATGCTTTCACTCAAAACCCTGCACTCAGATAGCTCCTGTTTGTACTTTGATTTCCAGCCCTTCAGCTCTTTGCCTTGTGCTCAAGCCGCTTCTGTGCACATGTGAAATGTCTGGTCTTGGATTTTTTTTCTTGTGCTCTTGGATTTTCTTTTGTCCATCAACCAATAGAATGCAAGGTGTAGTGTTGACAAATGAAAGTGTCCTGAAAACCAAGAACAGATGCTTCAGGCATGTACAAAAGAATTCTGACCTTGAGGAGAAGAGCTGAAACTGGAGCATCAATAAAAAATTAAAAAATATCTAAGTGCAAGCATACAGCTTGTGCACAAGCAGAGCAAATCCGAGCATGAACAGGAACTATTTGAGTGTGAGCGCATTGAAAAACCTGAACTTGAAGTCCTGCTCTCAAACAGACCACGCTCTTAAATAAAGATAAAAACTCCATAGTGTACATACAATGACACAACATTTACCAATATTTTTCTAAAAATCTTTTTGCTTACTCAGCTTAAGGAGAAAACATATTTGTTTGCAAGTCACATGGTATTTGGGTAGAAACCAGGTCTGAGAGCTGCCTGTGTGATTTCCCTTTCAGACATTGACGAATGTGCTGCAGACAGAAGTCTCTGCCAGCCCTACGGCTCATGTGAGAACAGACCGGGGTCGTATGTGTGTGTCTGCAACCACGGTTATGTCCTCTCAGAGGACAAACACAGCTGTGAGGGTAAGCTGCACTGATTCCCTCCTGCTCTACTGTTGACCCACATTCATCCCAGAGCTTTAACCAGGACTGAACATTTGATCCCTGCTTGTCACAAACCCAGAACATTTCTTTTCAGATGTAAACCAAAACTGAAGCCCTTTAAGCCAAACAATTATAATCATTAGTCATAAATGACCCAATCTTGTATTCTTCATAACCCAGGTTAGATTTTTAGAGCTATAAATTTAAAAGAAGGCCAGCTTGGAACGCCCAGTAACGGTGAAGTCGAGTCGCTGGATTTGTAAGCCAAATCATCCGTTCTGTTCTGTTAACATTGACCATGTTTTCTCCTGCAGCCGTTTATGTGTTGATAGACGAGAAGAAGGAGTGTTACCTGAACCTCGATGACACCGTGTTCTGCGACAGCGTCCTGGCCACCAACGTCACCAAGCAGGAGTGCTGCTGCTCCATTGGAGTGGGATGGGGAGACCACTGTGAGATCTACCCTTGTCCTGTCTCCCATTCAGGTACATTTACACTTTACTGTGTCACATCCAATCTTACAGAAGATTATTGATCATCTTGAGGCTCAGTGTTTTTAAGGGCTGGATGATGGTTGTAGCTTGTGCTAACACCATTATAGGGAATTCAGTTTCTGTTGTACTCAAACGATAGCGTTGCTTATTGTAGCCATACACTGTATCTATACCTCATGCAGTGGTTATTAAAATCTTCCTGGTCTTCTTTTCCCAGCCGAGTTCCACTTCCTGTGTCCAAACGGACGAGGTCTCTACTATGAAGAAGGACTCCAGTACAGCCTGCCTGCTTTCCATGGTACACACCAGGGCTGACATATTCTACTGTTTGCTCCAAAACATCTATTGTTTACATTAATAGAGACGGACCAATATGGATTTATTTACGGGTGATGCTGATACTGATATTATGGAGTAAAACCTTTACAATACCAATATATTGGCTGCTATATATATTAAATATATATAAAAAGAATTGGCAGTGATTCCTATGATGTCATCGTCAAACATCTTTCCTCCATTATTTAATCTGTAAAATAAATGTTTGCCGTATTGGCAGATATAAACGCAGATTTCTGTGAAAGGCTCACATCACATATTTTCAGCCAACCAATATATCGATTGGGCACTAAACATTGAAATGATCACAGTTGCGCCTCAATTAATGAATATTAATATAATAATAATATTGTAATTGTACCTAACCTTGACTAAATACAAATTTTGTTTACAGTTGTCGTGACTCGTGATATCGCTAAACTGTGCTCACTGCATTGAACAACACTTCCTGTACTGAGGACAGATTATTCCTTTATCGTCTGCAGACATCGACGAGTGTTCTTTGTTTGCTGATGAAATCTGCAAGAAGGGTCGCTGTGAGAACACGCTGCCGGGCTACGAGTGCTACTGTCAGCGGGGCTTCTACTATGACAGCAACCTCCTGGAGTGCATTGGTGAGCGATCAGATACACAGCATAACATGACACTTCAATGGATCCTCACATAGAACAATATAAAACCGTTATTGTGGATTTTAGGAGAGAACAGTGTTGTAGATGCCTCATTACAGATTCTGTGTTTGCATGTTCTTTCCTCAGATGTGAATGAATGCCATGACGAGTCTCTATGCACTAACGGCCACTGCATCAACACCGAGGGGTCCTTCTACTGCAACTGTAAGCGGCCTTGGACTCTAGATTCCTACAAGAATAAGTGTGTGATGGCAATAGTAGCAGGTGAGTCAACTGGCAATTTCTCCCAATTTGCCGAGCTACTGGAGGGATTATGTCGAACACTGAGTTCATCTCTTTGCTTGCACAGATGTGAATGAGTGCGAGGACCCAGCCAACTGTAAGAACGGCCATTGCGTGGACACCCCAGGGTCATACTACTGCATCTGCTCGCCGCCCTGGACCCTGGCTACTGACCGCAACAGCTGTGTGACTCCAGAGGAGCAGGCTGGTGAGTGCAGACCCTCTGCAGAGCGAGGGTTACAGAGAGCAGCAAGGCAGCGGTGGGCAGCGCCAGGTTATCCTGGAAAATCAGAAAGAAATCTTAGTTTTTACTGTGCCAAAGATGGTGAAGGACCCTTTTCATCATATTGAACAGAAAAATGAAACATGAAGCTTATGATGTTTTGTAATCAGAAATGGAGATGTTCACAAATTATGTGATTTTCTATATTAATGAAGTAAAATGTTTTCATTGCATTTTAAGTGGCTGAAAGGGGCTTTTTTAATTTTATAAATATCACTTTGAGTCTTAAATTAACACACAACGCTACAGAGGACCAACCTTGAACGTACCTCATGTTATATTTTTACCAACGTCAGCAACAGGATGTTTATGTTAGAGGAGCTATAATAGTCATCCTGAGCTAAAACCACGCAAACCACACAAAGTAAAAATAAATAATGCAATAAATAAACCAGTTCAGAACATGCTGTTCAAATCAAGGTCTAAGTTACAGTGAATGGACACAACATATTTTTATTAGAGGTGGATGTGAGAAATAATCCTTTACAAAAACAAAATTGCAAAAATTAAAAAATGTATCATTCAAGGAAAGTTGCCTTTCATATAATGAAAATAATGGAAGTGATGAAAATACATGGGAATTTAAAATATGAGAAACTATGAGTGATTTATTATAACAAATTGATGGGCTGAGTTTCATCATTCAGAACATCCAACTGAACTTCATAATTTTTAAAAAATTCTAAACTGTAAATCATAAACCACAGCCACAAACTTGTGGATCGCTTTTTTGAATAAACAGTTTCAGGTAATGTCATCAGGCATAAACTGGCTTGAAAGTCCACACTCAAGACAGAAAAGGTCGAGAGTTGAGCCGAGTGGGCGTGTTCTTTTTTTATCAGCTTTTTCATCACTTCCATTTCTTTCCAATTCTTTTTTGTTAATTTCCCCCTTGAGGCAACTTTTCTCAAATCATAAATGGCAATTTTATGTTGAGTATAGAAAATGAGTTGAACATGATAAAATGTGGTTGTATTTCCACAGTTTTAGTCAAATCAGCTTTAGTATCAAACCACAATTCATCTCTCAATTTTTCAATTCACATCCATTTTGCATCGTCTCCATTTTATCAGTTAACATTTTTGCTACTTCGCTCAGATATTTGTCCATATAGACTGTAGACTATCACGTGATGTGTTGTTTCTTTTAATGCAGTTCAGTCCTCATCTTTATTCGAGCTTTAATAAACAGAAAGTCGCTCCTTCTTCCTTCTCACACCCCTACAGAGTAGCTCAGGCTTCATGAAGTCTTACATGTTATCTAATTTAAACAAAGGGTGATAAGTTTCCACTGTAATTTACTGTCATTGCTGTCTGAATGGCTGGTGCATTGAAAAAAGATTTAATTTCACTCTGAGAAATCTATATCTACATCCATAGGTTTGAAAATACTCACCTTGTTTCAAATTATATATATAAACGGTTTTGTGACGAAGATTTCTGATGCTTCACACGATTTATTTACAACCAGAGTGGTACATGGAGCTGAGTGCAACCAGATGTAATGTATACGCTAAGTAACAGCCTCCAGCTCTGTAGCTAAATTATTTGATTGGGCCGTTCTCTCCTCTTGTAAGCTGTACGAGGGTCAGAGCGTGGAGATGCCTGCAGAACAGCTGGGTTCCTCCTGCTGGATGATGGATGTTGCCTGGAAAGGCTTGATATGTAGGAATGGTGTACAGTATCACTCTGAAGCCATGTGGTGGTGAGGTGTGGTTGGCTAAACGCCACGTCGGAACAGAGGAGTTGTGGTGGGAGTCGTTGTAGTTTTTGTTTTTTTTTAAAAGCAGGAGCCAGTGTTCAGCATTTCTTCAGATTAGTCCTGGATTCTTGAGAATAGAAAGTACGTAGGCCTCCGTTACCACTGCAACCATGGCATGGATGAATGAGTAGGAAATTGAAAAGTGGACAGACACTGATGAGCTTAAAAGCAGCTCACATTGGGACATGCATTGGCCATTAAAGTGTTGATTTCAGAAACACAAAGCTTCAAGTTTAGGGGAAGAATGAAAGTGAATATGACCGTACTGACCTAGACCTCTGACTTGATCTTATTCAGATGGATTTGAAATTAAGTTAAGTTAAGTAAAGTCACGTCACGTCAAATCAATCTCGTGCAAAATATATACGAAAGATAAAACACAAAACAAACTAAATCATCAATACAGGTTATATATAAGTATCAAAGAGAACATTTGATATGTATAAGTATAAAAGAAAAAAATATAGATGGAAGAATATGTGGCATAAGAATGATAAAATATTCATTGCAAATCAAATGTTAAAGCAGGGGAGCATTTCTAAGTCTCTTTTTCTCAGCCTGTGTAGTTTTTAATAGCTATGTATTTGTTAACTTAATAATGAGCATGGTCCGTACTAGACCCACTTCAGGTATATTAAGTTAACACACACTGACAACAACAACAGAAATATAAAACACCACATCAGTCGATTCAATTTTTCACTCCCCCGTACAGAAATAATCCTCGTCCAAGTATCTGCTCTGATACAGCCCACACCTGCCTACTTGGCATTGCCATTCATTTTCTCTGCAAACTGCCTGCAAACATCTTGACAGATAAAGATTCCTCAATTGATGTGTTGGCTGCAGCCAAGCTTCCTGTTTTACCCTGCAGCCCTTTTTTATGCATGGAGCACAGTGTGGTTGCATGTTAACTACAGACCAGCTGTACAATGCATGACCAAGAGTTCAGTTTACACAGGTGAGGGAAATAACATGCATGCAAAATGTATGATAAAGGCCTATAAAGAAAGAAAACTTTATATAAAGGTGATGGACATAGTAACTATAACACTGTACATTAAAAGCCATGATTGTAAGAAATGCTACATTCAACTTTCCGCTGCACCAAAGCCAAACCTGGCTATTGCAAACTTCACAGTGGGAGAATTTATTAAGAACTATTAAAATTGAACTGAACTCAACTGCACTGATGCTTGTGTTACTGTGTCCACCACCTGCCAACAAGAGCTGGCCCCAAGCAGATGTTCATACTGTAACCAGTGTCTGTGGTGCCCTTTGCAGATGTGAATGAGTGCCAGGACCCCTCGTACTGTAAGAATGGGAGGTGTGAGAACACGCCCGGCTCCTTTCACTGTTTTTGCGACCCGCCCCTCACCTTCAGTGCAGCGCTGAAACAGTGCGTCTATGACGGTGGGTAAAAAAAAAACTAAAAAAAAAAAATTAGCGTTAGCTCGCCTGACTGATCAAAATGAGTTTTGGCTTACGTCGACATCTGCCACTCATGTTGCTCTTTGTAATTCCTCCCAATTTGTGTCCCCATGCATCCTGTAGTACACAATTTCCCCTTTTACCCACTTATTTGATAAATACCAAAACTAAATATGTACAAAGTTATGCAGGTAAAACAATATCAGAGAATGTTCAGTGTCAGGAAAAAGTGTTTTTAGCCATTTTCCTGAATATTTGGGATTTTCAAAACCACTTCATGTCTCCTTTGTCTGTGTTATGTATATTGTTAAATGTATTTGTATTGCTAGAGAAAAGACAGAGAAAGCAATTGAAGGCTGCTCATTTAGTGGAGAATGAACTCGGTAGTGTTCATTATGATGTAAGATAGGTGACTCACAGCACATTAGTGTCAAGTCATGATCATGGCTGGTTTAACATCTGTAATTAACACCTCAGGACTGTTAAAGTGTAACACGCATTACCAGCAGACAAAAAACCAACACTATAATACTGTTACTATTATATTATATCTTCACAATTAGAAATACAAGTAAATAGAAAACAAGGCAGCATAACCGTTATCGTCCTGCATGTCCTCATCCTGAATGCAACACGTGAATCAACTTTAATGTCAATCAAACAGCACTAAATACTGCGTCCATGTTTCACTGGTAAGCACGGTGCATGGATGATTGGTCACAGGAAAAAAGACCTTTGTTTTACCTTCCCTTATTATCGTCCCACTGCAACTCATTCGTCTTAGAATTTCAGGTGATCAGCTCGTCCCCTCTACTAATCATCATGTTGCTTTATACACTGGACATATTAACACACATAAACATATATTTACTTGATAGGGATGCTTCATTAATTAGACTTTAAGGATGATAGCATTTTAAACACGGTTCCTTCTTTAAATTTATCTGTAGATTCTAATCATTTTAAATGCAAATAAGTAGTTTCATTTTAATAAAATGTATTTAAATCTTTTAAAGATGAATCTCTTACTTACAGAGGGAATATTCTGTGTGGCACAGCAAAATAAAAAAGTTCTATAGCCACTGCAGGCTAGACAGGTACTTATTGTATTATTGGACCGACTCATTTCTGCACTTTTGCAGCTGCATATTTGGAAAAGCTCCTGACCTCTGTTAACACTAACCTGTATCAGGCATATGCACATTATACATGGAAAAGTGGTTCTTGCTACTTCTGATTGTTAAACAACATTTCACTGTCCATAACCTCGACATGTAACAGTTATGGAGATTGACTTAAAATAGTGTCTGTGTATTGATGTTTTATTTTTCATAGATTTTTTTATCTTCAAATGCTGTTAACGTCTGAAGTGACATTTATGCGTATAGTTATAAATGTACTCACTATATATTTTTTGTGCACTTTCTCCACTGGCTTGTATAATAATGTTTTACATGATATTAATCTTTAAACAGCCTGAATGTGACTCCCTGTACTGAACTTTATGTAAATCTGACTACACTTAACTATTTATGACCATGCTTTTTTAAACCCAGATCGAACTGCAGCCCACAAGGACGTGTGTTTCCTGCAGGTTGACGAGGGCTTGATCTGCAGCGAGCCGAGAAATGGCATGGTGGTGACCTACTCAGAGTGCTGCTGTCACTACGGTCGCGGATGGGGGCCCGAGTGCAACACATGTCCACCCAGAAACTCGGGTGAGGAAGCTGCTGTCCTGACTGACACTCTCAGCTTTGACCAACGATTTTCATCTTCTTTTAAAACTCAAAATGTTCATTCCTTGTGCTCAGAGATGTTCAGTCGTTTGTGCGAGATGCATCTGGAGACTGAGTCCGATGGGGAGCAGGATTTCCTCGCTGCTTTCGCCAACTACAATCCAGGTAGAACCACACCCCATCTCTGTCAATGTTTTATATGAAATTCTAAAATATATGAAATGAAATGAACCCTTATTAGCTTATGTCTTATATTCCACATATTCTCTTTTGTCCTGTCTGTGTGTCCATAACAGGCGACAGCTCAGAGGAGGATTCAGATGAATGTAGCTGTGCAAATGGCCGCTGTGTCCGCTCCTACCTGGGCACCATGTGTGAATGTAACACAGGCTTTAGGCTGGACCACTCTCGCACCCGCTGTATAGGTTTGTACTTTTTAATGAATGTTATACTTCACTGGACTAAAACCAGAAAAAAAAAAGTGGCACCTGGCATTATGTTTTCTGTCCGTCCCATTCTTGTGAAAACGATATCTCAAAATAACTTTTGAGGGAATCAAAGGTCAGACGTCATGGACAGTGTAAACCTTAGAGTAAACACATCATCTCTAGAAGGCCTCAAGGGAATTTCTTCATATTTGGTACAAACGTGGACTAAAGGATGAACTGATTTTGTCTATCAAAGGTCAAGGTCAATGTGAACTCTCAAAACCGTTTTTTTCCTTGTTAAGATATTATCATGTTATCTTAAGAAGTCCTCGAGAGAATCCTTTCAGATTTGGCACAAATGTTCACTGATTAAATGATCCAAGGTCAAGGTGGCATCACAAAACATGTTTTGGTCTCTTGCACTGGATATTTCAAGTTTGCCTTTTGGAAATTTCAGCACATTTTGACCATTTCTCTCTAGGACTCAAAGATTGATTGATTTCAGTGTCAAAAGTCATGGTGATGTCTAATGTAGACTGAAACTGCACTGGATGGGGGATGATTAGAACTGATACTTCTCGTAATTAATTGATTATTGTATTTCAAGGAATTTACAGTTGCTGATAACATTGATAAGTTTATGTATCAACCTTGTATTTATCACTATTGAACAATGTTTGATTTCCTGTCTTACACAACCTGATAAGTGCTCGTGTTCATCTTTTTTTTCAGACATTGATGAGTGTGCGGAACCAAGGGCTCGTGTCAGTCCCTGTAAGAACGCTCGCTGTGTGAACACCACCGGCTCATACAAGTGCTTCTGCAAATTCGGCTTCGTGGCCACACGCAGGCCAAACATATGCCTTCGTCGCAGGACTCGGTAACCTCTGCGTGTCCCTGTGTTTACGCCTGTCGGAAGTTTGCAACACATGCAATTACCCCACACATGCACCTCCGTCTCTCAGAACAGACATTGGACTGTGTGTAGTGTGCGCAGTGAACCTTAAAAAACATGCTCTCGTCCAGAGCCTGATTGTAGGAAGGGCTCATATGATAGAACATAACATATCATTGTCAAATCAGTTTTCACGCCCCCCCCCCATTTCACATTTAAAGAAATTCAGACAAGTAATATGTTTGTTTTATTGTTTGTAATTATTGTTTTTTAAAATGTTTTGTTAAGTATAAATTGTGCATTTTTGTGATTTTTTTCTTTCTCTCTTACTTTGAAATGCTGATGTCAAGCCCTCTCTTGTTTTAATAAGGAAATATTTTTCTACCAGGTTTTCTGCTGCAGCCCATTTCATATTTCTATACGTTTTAAATGATATGATGATTTTTCCCTTTACATTCCCATAAGTCCACAAAATGTTCAATTCTAAACTCTTCTAACCACACACTTTTGATTTTGTGTTATTGTACATTTTGTCTGTTTATATAAGAATGGTCCCTGCCCTACCCCTTGTTGTTGTTATTTGTTGATGTTGTTGATGTGAGAAGGCTGAAGTGTTTGTATAATTTGACATGTACACTAACGTGTTTGTTAAGCTAGAAGGAAAGGTCATGCACTTAGCAATAAATGTAGTGGGAATATTTGCTTATTCCAGAAATCCAAGAAAGTTTGACAATCATTGACATAAATGCTGCATCAAAGTATTTAGAAAACCAAAGACGCTGTTCAGATGAGAAGAATTGAATTTAAAAAAAGATGATGGCAACCAGTCATGTCTTTGTTGTTCTTGTGTTTTGGAGCATTGTGTTTTGTTCACTGATACTGTGACGGTGACAGAACCTCTGCAGAGACGAGACAACCTGCCGGCAGAGCCACGCTGCTCCCGGCAGCTCTCCATCATAGAGGCCTTCATGGTGCAGCGGATAAATGGAAGTCACTTTGCTGCCAAAGACTCTTCTACAAAGTAGTGACTTGAGGGTCTGAATACTTTTTAAAAAAGAGATATCAGTTTTTGATTTTAATAAAGTTGTAAAACATTTTAAAAACATGTTTTCACTTTGTTGTCGTGGATTATGGAGAAGAATACTCAACCAATTTCCATGACATTATATGGAGGATGGAGTATGACCCAAGGAAGAGTCCAGATCCTGTTCAGGGTTGAATCCAGGATTTTATTTCACTTACTTCAACATAGCAAGAAAGTTTTTATTGGTTTCTCCCAATTCATGGATCGTGGTGAAAAAAAAAAGATGATCATTTTGGGTGCGAGCAATTTGGTGCAGAAACAAATAAAAATCTAGATTTGGTGAATTTATATGTGGTTTCACAAGAGGACTCTATAGAGTGATGTGCTAGTTTATTTTTTCTCATTACTGCAATGTACACATCTGTAATAGAAGAAGAAGAAAAGGTAGTTAAACATGCTTTCTTTCTTTCTATGTAAGCTCACGGTGATCATGTAAAGTGAGTTAGTGCAAGTGTCTGCCTGCTTGCTGATTCAGTGCAGGTTCACCACTGCTGACAGAGGAATTAAAGGGTAACTGCTGATCTCAGTGGAGTCTGAGGGCACTGAGACTGTGGAGGAGTGGGTGGGTTTATTTTACAAAATAAAAGCACTACCTCTAGTGGGGGTTGTTTCACCAAAACTACAGATGACACTACCCACCTATAGAACACCACCATCTTGTGGCCTCTTCATGTTGCTACAGCTCCTGTCAGTAGTCTGGTCAACACAAGCCATTGGAGTTTTCAGCAAAATCCAGAGTCACCACCATGATGTAGTGTAATTCACTAAAATGACGATGCTAATGCCAGTGATTCCAGCTGAGACTCAACATATCATCCTGTCTGTGTCAGAGGACGTCACAGAAAGGCCCACACCATCCAGTTCATCTGTGAACACTGTACAGTCAGTGTCCAGATGGTGACACATATATGACATGATGTGCATACAATTATTTTCATACGGAACATGATATCATCCAGGTTAATGTGTTTCCCCACAGCAAGAGTATCTGTCTGTGGAGGGTCTAACTGATGATGACTTGTTTGCTCTATTGTGATTTGATTCTTATTGTGTCTCTGATTCTTAAAAAGAAATGTATTTGTAAAAACCTTAGTAAATAACTCTCCCTCAGTTTGTCAAATAGTTTTTTTATTGGCATCACTTTAAGGAAAAAGAAACCTGACTTCATACAAATCTACCCCAGTCAGTCAGTTCTGAATTTAACTTGGGCGCTGATGTTTGATTTTGTCCAAATATATTTTAATATTAAATTTGACTTTACTTTAAGAATTCACTGGTCTGTGCAAATCTTGTAGCTACAAAGCTACAGATGTCATCATTCATCCCTATTCTTATTCCAGTTCCACACAGAGTAACACAATTAAGATTAACACTGGTTTAGTAGCAACAAATTAGGATGGCACTCAGTAGAGGACTTATCTCCGCTAAGGCCAAACATTCCCCTTAAATTCAATCTAGCTGCACCAAATTTCACACACTTATAGACATCAGTCTCCTAAATATGCCTGATGTTTTCCATTAAGATTCATGAATTATTTTCGGGGGAATCATTGAAAAGGTTGAAAAATGAACTCTCTGGATCCAAACCAAAGTTGAATGTTTTTTCCCCATGCCCCACCTCTTCAAAAAATGTCATATGGAGGCAGTAGAAATGTCTGAAGCTGTGGTATGTAGCACAATCTGTCCCACAGTTTATCAGTTAATGAAACCGAAAAATATTAAAGCCATCAATCAGAGGATCGTTGACTTTTATAGCTTGTTTTTGTTCTATCAGACATACGAATAAAATCAATAGTTCTCTTCAATCTTTCCAACATTCACATTTCTGCCAAAAAGGAATTTGATATTTTCTGAAAATAGGGCAAAGTCTCGTGAGCTTCCACTTGAGGGAGCTGCTGGTACTGGTGCAGCCACTTCTGAACATGTTTCTGTTCCTGTAACTGGGTCTTCACCTTCATCATGTGTGCAGCAAGGTGAAGTCATCTCTCATGGAAAAGAGTATATTTCTATGTATGACATAATCCCTGAGATAAGAAGATATTTAATAGGTGTTTTATGTCCATGAATGACAAATAAATGCTTTTTTACACATTGAACTACACTGCAGGACATGATGGATGAAACAGTAACTTTCACACAAGATCACTGATTTAATTATTCCCAGTCACTTACACACACATATAGTGTGGTATAGTATAGTACATGCATCATCAAGTAATTAAGCACTAATCCTTCAGTTACACTATGCTGTCTGTATTCTAACAGAAGTGCTCCTTCTACTCTAACTTTACAAAGAGGAAAACTCACCTTAATCTAATGAGTTTCAGTATTAATAAAAACATTACAATTAAAAAAAACATTTATTTGTGTCAATTATTAGGTGCCAGTGACATGTTATATCAACTTTCACTCCTCTGCGTCATGTACCAGAGATGCTCTGTTCTAGACTGGCTGCCAATCCTGTTGTGTTTTATTTTAAACACTGATTATTTTCCACCTGCAAATCCTCCCAGGCAACCCATGAATGAGAGCAAAGACTTATCATGTGATTTAACAATGTTAACTGCGTGTGGAACAGCTCTTCTGCTGATTTGCAGGCCAACTAATGAGTGTCATAACTCTCTAAGCTATCTGTCAGACTCCCTCTGAGGAAACCCAGATCTATACGCGGTCCTCATCCTGTGAGCCCAATGAGTCACGTTGCACCATAGTGGCACCACAGCTCCTCACCGTCCTGGTTTCATTCTGTCGAATTATTGTATAATTTTAAACTGGAACAGCAGGGTGACCTCCAGCAACTAGTTTAGGGAGGAAGTGAGATAAGCAAAGGGACAGGAGAGATAGAGAATGAGCAAGAACCATGACAGAAATAGACCAGTTGTCCTTGGGAGATGACTCAAAAAAGTGATAGGGGGATATAAATACCTGTTAATAGGCCACACTGACCGGAGTATAACCTGCTGGGCCCTGATGGCTGCAGCCTGCAGCTACCAAACTTTCTTCTGTCTTTGTCAAATGAAGCTTTGGAAGATGGGAATCAAACATGACACAACATAACAAGATAATGATAATGCTTTTTAATGACTTCCATATTTCACATCTGTGACTTGGCAAACACACACCCAGATAATCTGCTGTTTTATGACTGCTACAGAGCGGTCTCATAAAGATTGACTGGAGTTTATAGTTAGAAACATCACAGCAGCTTTAGGGCCCTCTGACAGTCACTTCACTTCAGTTCAGTCATCAATATCCATGTAATTGCAGTGGTTGAGTTTTACAACCGTACCTCTGCCAAGGTCCAACATTCCCTCGAAATTCAATCAAGCTGCACCAAATTTCACGCAGAGGAAACACTTTTTTTTGTTGAGATCCTGGAATTATTGGGAAATTATTGAAAAAGTGAAAAATTAAAACACACACATTGCACGGTGTCTGGCTTTCACCCAAGAAAGAGACAACAAGAAGAGACATTAACACGTCTCTAATTTATAAACATAAATACATTTTTGTTTTACACGTTTTAAGATTCATCAACAGATAAACAGGCACTTTCCTTTGAGACAAATGAGAAGTGAAATGTTTGAACGCAGAGAGGTTTCCATGTCTGGCCAAATTTGGAAGAACCATTCTCAGTGTGTCAGAGATGCTAATAAGGAAACAAACCCAGTGGTGCAGGCATTTAGGGCGGATCAGCTTAAATAAAAGTAGCATGTAAGAATGAATTATGCTCTTTGAAATCTGAAGTGAACTCCCACAGTAAACTTTGACTGTGGGGTTGCAACTGTGAAAGCTGGATGAGTAAATGCAGTATAGTCTATGCTTCTGATTACTTTATGAATATGCCTGACAAGCTTTTAACTCATATTTTTGACAGGTTATTCATTCAGTATCACGGTGCTATACACATTAGCACCTGGATATGTTTACTGTGCTGCTCCAGGCCACAGAGACCTGCTTACAGTATCTGGAGTAAACCCTCACTATGCTTCATTCAGCCTCTGTATGTCCCCTCCACACAGACCACCCTCAATGACCACCAACTGGAGTCATATGATACAGCTTTAAGTTTGAGAATATCAGTCACACACATTATCCTGAGGTAAGAAAAAAAAACCACGGAGATCATGTCCACCCGGCTGTGAAGCTACAGTAACAACGATTTTACTAAACACAAGGCCCCCCGACTCCACCCTGGCCCACTGCAGGCCCTGATGGTGACCCCACCCTGTCGATGTCCCGTCTATAGTGAGCAGACAGAGGGGGGTTTATCTCAAACTGCTGCAATCTGCAGAAAGCACTGTGCTGGACACACTCTGGCAGCCAGCGGCAGACTTATATCCTGCACTCAGCTCTTTCCCTTTGTCATGGTGGATTGTGGATGAGCTCTGTGCTGGGGTGTGGGCCTGTGAGCTGGGGTGGGGACTGGGGCCGGGGAGTAAACAGGTTGCGTGTGTATGTGGGTGGGGGGGTTAGTGTGCTGTCAATGCTGACACACAAGCACACGGCTCAGATGAGTGATTTTTGAAGCCCAGAGGCTTTGATTTTACTGTCTAGGATCTGGACAGAGAACCTGATGTGTTTCATTAACCCTCTGGGAAGTAAAATGTAAATCCACCTGAAGTTGAGGTTTTACAATTTGAGATTATATCAAGCCAAACAGCTGCAAAGCATTGCAAGGTGGAGAATACATTTGTATATCACTCTTATGACTAACATTAATTTGATAAGTTGTTAAATAAACAATAAAATAATTAGTTAACTAAAGTGGCACACAGTATAGTGTATACTTCCACCAACAGTCCCCTTAAATCCAATCCAACTCATAGATATTAGTTGCCTAAATGTGCCTGATTTTTTTCATCAAGATTCTTGAGTTATTCCCTGGGAAAACAGTGGAAATGTGAAAAACACCTTCTCGCAATGTTAAAAAAAAAACCTTGATCTGCACCAAAACTGAACAGGTACTTCCCCGACCCAGACCACATCCTTCCCCCAAGTTTCGTGGAAATCTGATCACTTGTTTTTGTGTAATCTTGCTTACAAACAAACAAATGGTGGGCGTGAATCCGCCCCTTAATCTATCTATAAATACATCTCCCAACTAAGTTTGTGGAACTCTGATCTGTGATTTTTTGCATAATCCTACAAACAAATAAACCAACAACCAGCCAACAAACACACGGCACAGGTGAAAGCATAACCTCCTTGGTGAAGGTCAAAATGTAAATTTTTTTTGTTCAGATAGCAGCAAGGCTTTTCCCTTTTTAGGTCAGAGTCATACAGTTAAAAACATTTACACGCAGGGCAGGCCCAGTGCAACCACAGTCTAATTTAGCAGCCACTAATCAGCATCATTGGAACAGTTGAAGATTAAGTGCCTTGGTTGATGCCACCTCAGCAGTGACAGTGAGACAATACATTTTCTGTAATGAACATGGCTGATATACAGTTTAAAATCCTAAAAATATCAAATCCAAAATACAGTGTTTCTGTCAAAACGGATACCGATCAACGATTTTATGTCCTTCCACTAAAACCCCTGGCAATTTTAACTACATAAAAAGTGACAACACCCACTTTTCCCATAACTTTGACTGACAGCGTTAAAGCCTCCCCTCACCTCAAACATCCATCAACCCAAGTCAACTAAGTCTGATGACTGAGGTGAAGAAGTCAATAAAATATTTTGAACAATCAGAAATATCATGAAATTCACTGCAAACCAATGATATAGCTGCAGTTCAGAAGACCCCGTCTTCTTCGGAATCTTCAATTACAATAATACATTTACAGCAAGAAAACACCGGAACCACGCTAACAACACGGCAAAGCTTTTTCATTACCACTAACTGCTTATAATGAGTAGCATGCTATTTTCCAAACTGCTTAGCCCTCCCTAAGAGACCCATCATCCCATAAAGCCCTCACCACTACTACTTTGTTGGTTCAGCTACACCCATACTCACAGATACACACCCTGCAGAGAACATAAAAATAATTTAGGTGATGGAGTGTGGGTACCTTCGCCAGTGTCGTTCTTCAGGACACCCCAAATAATTCTCTCTCCAGGGTCCAGATCTTCTCTAACTCTAATCGTCAAATCACTGCTCACATTACAACCCACCGTGTAACAAAAAAAGACACAGGGGGGAAACACTTATCCTCGTCCAGAAGCTCTGCACGAGGATCTTCCAGGGCTTTATGAATAACCCAGATCTTGATGACTTGCTCGGTGTCCCACACTCGCCAGGTGCTGCACCATATCTCAGGAATAATTTAGTGCAAGAGCAGATCCTCAGAGAGAAAACACTGGAAGGGACGGAGCAAATCCTGAAATGTAGACATCTGGATCTGAGGGAATATGTTTTTATTCGTTGTTTTCTTAACAGTCGTCTCAGGATGGTGGTGCAGTGGTTGGCACTGTTGCCTCACAGCAGGTTATGTGTTCAAACCCCAGCTGGGATTGTGTATTCTCCATGTGTGTACGCTCTACAGCCTATATGTGGTCTAAAGTCACAGACCGTCAAAGGAGCTACAATTTATGGATGGATTCAAATTTAGACACAATAGAAAGTGACAGTAAGGTGAGATGCTTCAGTGAATATCTCACAGTATCATGTATATAGTAGGATATACAGTATGCATGAATATACAAAGCCACTAGGGACTTGTTGTTCATGAATTCTTTATTGATTCCCTTAAAAAAGAGAGTGAAGCTTTGAGGATCAGTGAGATGTTTAAGTCTTCTGTGAATGAGGGTGATGCATCACCAATCAAATTATTCTTCCTTTTTGGGGGTTTGATGTTGGTCCTCATATCCACTCAGGACACTGCAATATCCCTGTTTCTTTGTCCAAATTTTTCCAAAGAAATCAGATGCACAGTAGCTCATTCAAATAGCAAAGAAAGTTCCCTCTAAGTAGAGTACTCCTCTTTTTGGGATCCATTTTCTCTTCTACTTCAGGTCATCTTTATTTTTCTGCTCTCAAAACAAATATGTGCTTTTAATTTATAGGATTTTTTGGTTACAGTGGCTGAGGTCTCGGGCCGTGGGTGGGAGAGGGTGAGTGAGCTGTATGTAATGCTGTTGGCTGCATGTTTGTTAATTTTGTATTTGTGTTTATGGGACCCCTCTGGCAGGGGTGGATCCAGGGGGGCAATGGCCTCAGCTGAAATCTGATTGGCCACCTACCGTCCTGACACTAAAAAACAATTGTCACTTACTAAAAATACTAACTAAATGTGACGATTTGTTAATATTTCTTTTATTGTGAAGTTATTGAAGTCTGCTACTCGTCATCGGTGATGGAACTTCACAAAACATTGAGCTATACAGCCAGGCTCATCACTTTTTCGGGTCACCTGGAAACATTTCCTCTACTGTTTTTGCAATTTGCGTCTCGTTTCTGGATTTGCATGTGTTGTGACATTTCGCAGAGCATGTCTCCACAAATCGATGAAGTTGTTTTCCCGATTTGCAGTCAGTTGTGCTCTCTCTGCCACCGCAGCGTATGATGCAATAGCAGAAATAGTAATCACAGAATGAGGTTAGTGTGCACCTTACTGAATCAGGAACCACGCATGGATGTTACAACCGACCCCTCTGTGTGAATTATGGCCCCCCTGATTTAGGAAACACCTAGATCCACCACTGCCCCTCTCCAGAAATGTGATGGTGGCTCTCATTTCAATACATTCAAATGAATTCTGTAGTTTTTCATCATTGCTATTTGTAGCGTGCGAAGACAGAGGTGGGTTTTGACAGGAGCTGTTTTTAAATACCAAAAAAGTCCCTCTGTTTTCTTGGATGCTTTAGCACCGCGCGCACACACACACACACATAGACACACACACACACACACACAGAGAGAGAGAGAGAGAGAGAGAGAGAGAGAGAGAGCATCTTCCTCCCTCGCTTGTTTTTAAGAATATAGTGAGAAACGAGCACAGTGTTTCCCATGTGACTGTGAGGGGTCAGCTGCACCCACCCACCCAACCACCTACCACACACACACACGCACGCACGCACGCACGCACACACACATGCACACGCACATGCAGACACACACCCCTAACCACCACCTCCACCAGTTCTTCTTTCTTCTCCCTGTTGAACGGGAGCTCGGGGAGCGGGAGTGAGCGAGGTACGGTTCGGCCCTTCGGATGCTCGGCGGCGCGGGGAAGAAGCTGCTCCTGCCGCTGCTGCTGCTGCTGCGGATATCCGCCTCTCACCTGCCTCCTGAACACGGACTCGTCGTGTCGCCTCTTCCTCCCGGTTGTGTGAACGCCAGATAGATAGAGCAAAAGACTGGTGACGGTTTCGTAACGCTCTGCACCGGTGCTAGCAGCAGCAGCAGCGACGGAGGGACTCGTCATTTTCCTTCCACGGAGGATGCGGATTTAACGGAGAAACGTTATCAGCGTCACCTGGGATTTTTTTTTTACACCGTTAAAATTCGAATTAGCTTCGGTCGCAGGCTTCGATAGCAGAGGGAGGTTTTTTTTTACACCGCGGTAGAAACAACATCGACAGGGGTTTTTCTTCCAGAAGACAAAACAAGAGGTGAGCGTGTTTTCTTGAAAATCTGTATTTATTCATTCACTAGCATCACCAGCAGGCTAACCACTAATAACAAAGCTAATGAAAGGAGGGGGAGTGTGTGTGTGTGTGTGTGAGTGATATTCAGGTGACTCCTGCTAGCATCCCCCTGCTATTAGCTTCCCCAGCCCACACATAACCCCCACATTTTGTTTTAAACTCTGACAGAGATTTAATAGAAATCACTCGTTCATTCATTCCTGGTGGGAGCTAGCAGCCCGGTGGAGCTGCATCTGCCTGCGGCTCCTCAGTGCTGGTTATCGGGGGACCTCCTCTCTATCTGTCTCTGTCTTCTTGCCTTTGTTTGAATCGGTGTCAAACGCAGCCACATTTTCATCTGCGTGTTCGGTACAAATCCAGCCTGTGGATCTCCTGCCTCTCACACCTCTGCTATCAAACTGCCTAACCGGGTTTTTCATACTAACATCCCGAGATGTGGAGTAGAATAATGCCGGCATCTTGTAAAAGCTGCTGATTTGTCCTCTCCTCTCGACATTGTGGGCTGTGTGGTGATGTTATGATATAGGACTGAGATGTACTGTGCGTGCCTGGCCTGTAGACTGTGAGTCATAACAGGAGGATGCATCAGGTACAAGTGTTGTTGAGGAGGGAGCCCAGGCACAATTACTTGTTTACATGCCCATTAAGCATTTTTAAGACCAAACCTCTAATTGAGCAGATAATCGGAGCTGACATTTGCTGGCCACCACGTGTGGAAATCAGGTTGCATGGCCCTCAGACATCACCCCACAAAGGAAAATGGTAGAATATACAAAAACACATGGGTGCACATATTACTGAAATAAGTTGATGAAGAACAGTTTTAGTAAATTGATGTCGAGGGAATATTTCACCATGGATGAATATTATTTGATGATTTTCTGAAAGCAGAAAAAAGACAGAGAGAGCTGAATGGATGAGACACTACAGCAGTTAAGAGGAAGGATAGCTGCCTAAATACAAACCATTGACCAACATGTCTTTTCACTTAAATCTACAAAGTGCTTTTTCTAGACCAGGAGTGTTTACAGGATATATGTGTTGTTTAAAGGACACTTAGAGATATAGATGTCTCTATCGGGAAAACAGTCCTCTTTTCAGTGTCTTTCAATAAAACACACTTCTGGTTTTCGGCTGACTTTATATCCAGTGCTTATTGATTGCAAGCTTAACGCAATAAATCACAGTCATCCAGAGGGCGGTCAGGTGTTTGTTTTGTTAAACTTAAAATGCCTTGTCCTTTACTTTGACATCCTCTGCTTTGTGACCTGAAAATGTATTTAATTGAACTTCAGAGTTGTAGTTCAGATTAATGTCTAACTTAAGAAGAGCACTAAATATGCAATTAACACAATATTAAACTCTAACATAAACTACAATTATTTAATTTGTATCCATGTCTATTGCTTTCCATCGTTTGTTTCTTAAAGGGGTAGTTCACCCAAAAATGAAAATTCACTCATTATCTACCCACCACTATGCCGATGGAGGGGTGGGTGAAGTTTGAGTTTTTTTTCTGTGGTTTTTACGTTTGAAGAATCTGTCACCATTTACTTCAATTGTATTGGATTTGGCTGCAATGCTGTTTACCCCTGTAACTTCAAAAGGGTGTTGTGGACTCAAACACTTCATCCACTCCTCCATCGGCATAGTGGTGAGTAGATAATGAGAGAATTTTCATTTTTTGGTGAACTATCCCTTTAACATTCTTAATAATTCCTGTTAACGACTTCCATCCTAAATCTTTTTAATTTCCTACTTGGAGTTTGCCTTTGACCGTCTGGCACAATGATGGGAACAGGCTTAATTTCGCATTGGATAATCCGCAGCAAATTGTTGTTTTTTGTTTAGCACCGACGGACAAAGGTATTACTGCTAAGAGGTGAACTAATTGTTTTGGTGCCCCTCCCTTCTAAATGTTCCACTGCCTCTTGTTAGAGGTCTGATAGTTGATATTTAGTTCTCGCTGCTTCCACTACCTCTAAACCAAGCAGAACTTTGTGCAGAGTGCACTCAATATGCACTATATAAACAAAGGAGCAACCAACCAAGGTCTCCTTTGAGGAACCATTGTCCAAGTAAACATGGACATATCATGGAAAATATTTTCTTTTTGCAAGAATCAAGTAAATAGTCTGCAAATGAGCTGCATTTAAAAAGTCACACTTCAGTTGCAGTAAGTTTGATTTGGTACCAGCAGAGGGCGACATGCTGACTCTCCCTTACTGCTCACCTGGGTGAAATGGTGCCCATGGAGCATTGTCTGCAGGCTGCATTCAGTGTAAGGTTAAAGCCACATGCAGTATATTTAATAATTAACAACATCCCTCTGGAGCTGTGGCTGAAATCTAGCTGCAGAGGCCTGCTGTGATATGACCGAACACTAAACGTGGACGTTACAATGAAAACAACACTAATTGTTATTTCAAATGTATTTGGGTACTTGGGTAGTTATTGTGATTCTTTGTGATGTTCATAGCAGTTAATTCTGTATTGATTATCACATACCAAAAAAAATGGATAAAATACATCAACAGCATCCTTTGACTTTGCTTTGTATAGTAAGTTTGTTGCCTGATTCTTGCCCTGTTGCAAAAACTGTGGCGCTTTTTTGACGGCGAGACAGACGGGTTGTGATGATAGATAAAAGAGAGATAACTGTTGGCTGGCTGGATTGCTGTCTACATGAACAGCATTCAACAATAGAATGGCACTGTGAATGTGGGCCCCCCATAGTGCTGATTCTCAAAATCCCTCTCAAAAAAAGCTTTTTTCAGTTCCTGCTATTCACACATTCATTGCGCTGCAGTGAACAATATCACTAACCCAGTGCGTGTCATTTGTAATTTGTGCTGCTTCCTGATGTGCAGTTCTTCATATAACATTTTGTGTTTTAGGTCTTTGTTCTCCAACATCTCAAAGTGCATGAGAGGGTTCAGTATGGGGTGGTATTGTGCTTTTGTTCAGCCAATCTATTCACATACCCTGGAAGGTTTTTGGCACGTGTGTCCTGTGTTGTGAAGGCTAGAAAGTGACACTGATGTTGACTCTGGGTCAAAATGTTTCTTTCTTAATCTGCTGCCATGACGTATAAGAGAGGCGTTTGGCAATTATCCTTCCTCCACCCTGTTTGTGTGAGTCGTTTAACTGTTGTTGGACCCAAAACTTTTGGGGGGAAAAAAAATGCATAAAGATAACTGTGTTGTCTTGGTAGTTGAATTTATTTATATAATATTTAGTATTTAAAATTAGATCTTCTAAAATCTTACAAACCATGGAGGTTATGAAGTATTATTGACAAGTTGGATCCATTAAATTAGGTTTGATAAGACTCATAACTTTGCTCATGACAAGTTGATAAACTCGAGATACATTTGAGCATTTTACTCATTGATAAATACCAACTTCAATTTCATAATTGTAAAATGTTAATCAGCACAAATTATACAGCTAATTTATCTCCACAAAACGTGACTTCTGAAAAACAAAGCATGCAGTTTTCTGGGCTTTGTAACAAATGTGTCCAGCTTTCCTTTGGGAATACTGGAAAAACTGCCCATGTCAAGTTTGAGTTTGATCACATTAACGATAAATCCAGAACCTTGTGGCTTGTAAGCTTTACAACTGGTGACACAATGATAACTGATGTGCAATGTGTTAGAGTCAAAGTTGGAATCACAAACTCAGCTAAATGCTCAGCGGTTTAGGGAGAGGCCAATTAACTTATCTCCTCTATTTTTGATTACACCAGAAAAGTAAACTGGGAGAAAGAATACGGGCATGACGGGGTCATTTGACAGCAGCCTCCACACAACCATCTGGAAAACATGCCTAGTTTTTCACAACTCTTTCAAATTTTTGTGTTTACAGCACTTAATACTATTAAAGTTATATTTACAGCATGCTCTTAATTACTCGAACTGCTGTTTTTCAAGGTGTCTTATAACAGATGGTGTTATGATGCAGCTGGTTTTCCAGGTGTGGTTCTGTTGGTGCTAGCATAACTGCATTAGTCTGGCAAAAACACTTGTGTTGTTCTTGGCACTGTTTTGCACCGGGTGCAAGATTAGAGCCCTAACACACAGGAGCAGACCTATAGACATGCCAAAAGGCCCAGTCCCTGCACTTGGTCTTGTGTGTTTGAAAATGCCAAGAACCAATCCACAGTGGATTTGCCTGCTCTAAATTTAATACACTGATGTTTTTAATTTGGATTTCTGTCAGCATCGTAGATTGATGCTGCTACTGCGATTTCCAGCCAAATTTATTTCAGAGCACAAGCTAAGCTTTTTATTCATAGGGTAATTCTTAAAATGACCATAATTGCCTGAGTGTGAAAAGATAATGAAGATATATCAGGGCCGCTTCACTATAAAGCATAAAACTTGTGAGATGCATATTATTTGGATGATTTGGATTTTTGTGGTTTATTCTTTTAAAATGTTTTGAAAATCCAACAGTGAAACTCATTTAGCTCCTTATTATTGTTTGCTCATACCTCTCATTGACTGAAGTAAGCATCTTGTTTCCCCCACTAAGTTGCTTCACTGAAGAATCGTTTAAAAAGACGGTGTCAGACAGTGTTGTCTCATTTAAATTAAAATAATATGCTTCCGGGTATGAGATATAGGACAGATATTGTTTGCACTTCTTCATTGTCCAGCCGTAGCTAAAGAACACAGCAGAACCCCAGTAAGATGTCATGAGGTTTTGTTTTTATCATTTCTACACTGATACATTTGTCAATGCAAAAGGTGTTTATCAAAATTTTCTAAATTATCCGGATATGAATGAAATCTTGAAATTTAACAGTGAAATCACCAAAGATATTGTATTCTATTGATTGATTTGAAACATGGTGTAACTATGATGTAGTATAAATATGATTTATTGACAGTTAAAAACTATATAGTTGTGTTAAAGACTGTAACCTATATTAACTTACAATCAGTAATGATTAAAAT